GGGGATAGAAGCCAGTGGAGGAATTGGCAGAGGTGGGCAGGGGAGTGGCAGTAAGTGGAGAGTTAGGCAGAGAGGGATAGGGGGTGGAAGCCAGTGGAGGGATTGGCAGAGGGGGGTTGCATAGCTGTTGGTAAGGTGAATGAGAGTGGCAGCAGCATGCATAATAAACTGAAGGGGGGATAGCCTGTGGGCACAGCCAGAAATCCAGTGTTATTGTGTACTATGCAGTGTTATCCCAAGCAACGTCACCAGCCTTGCCCAGTTCGCCTATGTCAACGACGTATACGGCCACCACATCTAAGGACTAGTAAAACTTGTGTGCTTCAAACATTTTGCTGCCAGCACTGTATACCTTACGGTGCTGGCTGAAGACCCCTGTAAATGGAGTGTTCACCTGTGTAAAGTCAACTGTCGGCTTTACACTGGAAGTGATTGTTGGCTCAAAAGCCGACAGAATGCTTCTGGGGGCTGGTAAAATGACCCACCCCCTAACACAAAACCCCCTGGCTTGAGTCCTAGGCTTTGCTGCCCCTCCTGCAGGCTCAGGACCGGCATCATGGGTGTCAAGAGGAAGCGGGGAGAGAGAAACCAGTGAACATCCTCCGCGCTAAATGAAGCTGAAAGTGATGCTGATTACAGCTTCTGATTACAGCTTCTGATTACAGCTTCTGATTACAGCTTCTGAGCTGTCATTGCCCGGCTAGAGAAGTGTATAGGTGACATTAGGGGTGTAATAGACCGCTAATGTAACAGTAAAGAGCATATGAAAGCTCCAATGTGCTATCACAAAGCGAGCTTGTGAGCTTCTCTACGTATATCAATAAAGTTAATTTAAAAATAATAAAGTTAAAATAATTTAAAAATAACCAATCCAAATGTTTTTTTTAAGGTCCCCATAAACACGCGCATGGTAACACAAACATGCGTCGGATGCGCCTCTGCACAAAACGACGATTGCACCACACATGATAGGCATCGCTGCATGCACCGGAGCGAGAGAAGCAAAGTAATTTTCAGGCCTACAATGTGGATTATAACATGTGTGCAAAAAACTCAGCAAAAGCGTGAACACCTCAGTGGGGCAGCTAGTCTATTGTACATCAAAGCCCAAACTATTTAGTTTTTGATTTCCCCATCACTTTCTGTTTGAGTGACCATGCTCATCAGCATGTAACGCCTCAGAACGAAGGGGGAAGTTTAGCGAGCGATTGCTGTGCGTTCCAGCAGCTACCGCTCTGAAATGCACCACAATTGGTGTGAACTGGCCTTAAGTTAAGTTGTACACCTTATTCCTCTAACCCTTTGGCAAAAACAAACATTTAAAAGGAGAACTATGGGGTCAGTGTTTTTCCCCATAGTTTTCCTCAGGGTCACGGGAGGACATAAACTAGCGTCCTTCCGTGACCCAAAGCTCAGTATACCGCAAGCTCTAGCTCGCGTTATACTGAGACGCCGCAGCCGGGACGGATCCCGACATTACTGTCGAGATCCACACAGCTGCTTGATTGACAGCTTGCTCTGCCTATCTAGAGGCAGAGCCAGCTGTACCCGCCCCCTCCCCGTCCGTTCCTCCAGTCAGCGCTGGAGGATCGGAGCGTGGAGGGGGAATCCCTGCGGGGAGCCATGAGTGACAGTCACCGCTCTCTCTGCAGGGACAGGATCGAGAAGTGAACGAGCGATGGTATGTGTTCGCTCACTTCCCTATCTATTGAGCCAACGCGTGACAGTTTCATTATCACACGTCGGCTCGAACTATGAGGCTGAGTGAAAATCACTCACCTCATAGTTCTCCTTTAAGTTGTACACCTTATTCCTCTACCCCTTTGGCAAAAACGAACATTTAACCATTGCCGTGCGGAAGGTGGAAGGAAGAGGGCACTGAGGTTTTGTTTCGTTTTTTTTTTTTATTCCCGGAGTTCATTTAAAAAAAATTTGACATTGGATGGCGGTATAGTGAATATAGAGCTGCTTTAATGGCGTCTTTTATATGTGCCTAGGGTTCAGCTTCAAGGAATCCCCTCATGAGATAACCTGGGGCTTCCGTGGCTGACTTGCTTCTGAAAGTGGTAGTCATCTGGTAGTTATGCCGAGTCTCTGGCCTCAGAACATTTTGTGTCACTGACCTGGAAAAGAGGTGAGAAGTTTGCCCACATGCTTGTTCTGGTCCAGTGACTTGATGTACTGAAGCAACAAGGTCAATATGCCAGCCAAGCGACTCGCATTTCCAGAAGGGTCAGTAATGGAAGCCTAAGGGACGGTTCACGCCACAAACAGTGTGTTCCAGAGCGGACAGGCTCTGGAACGCACTGAATCGCAGGCCGGCTCCCAGTGTTCAGTAAAATAGTGCCTGCAGCATTTTTGCAGATTGCACTGGACCAGCTGGCACTAATGTGCCACGGGTTCGGGTGCAGGCGATCGCACTGCAGGCGGGGGGCTTGGCTGCAGTGCCATTGACTTCATTGCACCACCACGTCCCTTCCAGCCCCTGAACGCATGGAGCCAGCCAGGTTGTGATTCAGTGCGTTCCAGAACCTGACCACTCTGGAACTAACTGCTTTTGGTGTGAACCGGCCTCTAAGGGCTAGTTCACAGCAGAACTGCATGTGTCTGCGCAGCTGCAGTGCAATGCAATTTTACCTCGATTGATGCTTTTTTTTTGCTTAAAATAGTACTTCAGGTGCGTTCCAATATATTTCTTGATGCGTTTTGATGCGTTCCATTGCGATCCGATGCAGCTCAAATAGGGCAAGCGGTATTTTTTCTGACTGCATCAGAACTGACTGTACTGGTGGGAACAGAGCACCAGAAATCCCATAGGAAAACATTGCGATACATTTTGGATGAAGCTGCCAAACTGAACAGACCGCATCACAACTGCATCTGGTGTGAACTAGCCCTAAAGGTTTTTCTAATGAAGAGCTTTCTTTTTAGGGCACACGGAGGAAATGTTTGGATATTAAAAAAAAAATACCTTTTTTGCTGCAGTAAATTGATCTCACATGCACTTTCTTCTTGCTTCTCTTTCCGCCATAGGACCATCTTGACTCCTCAGCCACAAGATCCTCTTGACAATGGGTTCCACCCAACGAAGAGATCTCAGTCACTGCTGGACAAACAATCCACCCGAGAGACAATGGGCAGCTTACACCACCTCCCCTATCATCCTGTGGGCTGCGGGAAGAGTGTCCTCTTATAAATGTACAGTGGGCTAATTCCTGGAGACTTCATGAATCACAGTTGGTCCTCCAAGCTCCTGATCCTTTCCTTGGAAGCCTTTTAATGAATGAAGACAGCTGCCTGTTGGGTTAGAACATCAAGCCAATTACTGAAGGCTCAGAAAACAAGACAATGTAACCACAACACTTCCTATTAAATAATTAACCAACTAACAAGGAATAATGGCAGCCGCTCGAAACTGATTGAAACCAGCAAAAAGGGAAAAGTTCACATGGGCAGGGCAACATATGAAACAATAACAAGGAAATCCTCAGCAGCAAACAAAAACCCTTATTAATCGGTTTCAGCTACTATAGGACATAAATACATAAATAGCAATAGCACATACAGAATATAACAATGCACAAATAATGCCAACGACATCACTGTACACCTGCTGTGCCCATTATGAGCGGCTCCCACCATCCCTGCACTGAGTTCCTGGGTCTGTACCCCTGCTGTGCCCATTATGAGGCCTTCCCACCATCCCTTTGCTGAGTTCCCGGGTCTGTACACCTGCTGTGCCCATTATGAGCGGCTCCCACCATCCCTACACTGAGTTCCTGGGTCTTTACCCCTGCTGTGCTCATTATGAGGGGTTCCCACCATCCCTTTGCTGAGTTCCCGGGTCTGTACACCAGCTGTGCCCATTATGAGGGGCTCCCACCATCCCTGCACTGAGTTCCTGGGTCTGTACCCCTGCTGTGCCCATTAGGAGGAGCTCCCACCATCGCTTTGCTGAGTTCCCGGGTCTGTACACCCGCTGTGCCCATTATGAGGGACTCCCTCCGGACATCCCTTATAAGTTTTTATTTACTGATTTTTATCTCTCTCTCCCTTTGCAGAGATTTCTCTTCACTTCTTGTCCTGAAGACACAACAGGAAGTAAGAGGAATTCCCTCCTTAGACAGTAGTCACCAGAACAGGTGTCCCCCGATGGGGGAAATGGAAGATTTCTCCTCACCTCCTCTAAAATGTTGGATTCCCCATCACTTTCTGTCTCTGATAATGGTCACCAGGACGAATAGAGAGGGTGAACCTACCTTGTTGGGACAATTACATCAATGAAAAGTCAACAGAGGCTTTGCCCCACTCCAACTATAAAACACATAGCAGCTGCTATAGAGCCCGAGAGAGGAGGGGGGCCCTATTATTAGGGAGGCTGTTCAGGTGAAGTTTCCATTCTAAAAGAGCTGAGGTCAGGCCTCAGGATGGTCACTAGTTACAGATCCCCTCAGTGCAGTGCAGAAAGAAACTTCCCTTATTTTTAGCAGTATTAGTAGTATCTTTTTTATGTATTTGTATTCTCTTTTTAGTCTGTTGAATATACAGTTGGTAATGATTTATGTCCATTCGATAAATGCAAAAAAATATCCCTTGATTCTTCCAGAAATCTTGTCAGCCAATAAATTCCTGTGGTCTCTGCCTGTCTGCATTGTGTCCTAGGGTGGCAACACTGCTGCTCCATAGATGCCCCCTCCCCCTAAAATTCTGGAACACACTTTTCTTTTTAATTATTATTTTAATGTTTAAAAACATGAAGTCATTCAGAATCACATTCATAAAAAATTTCAGATGGATCCAAAATTTCCGTTATCAGAAAATTCGGATACGTTTGAATTCTTTCATTTGGAAATTCGGATGTCCAAAAATTCGTACGAATTTCGATTCGAAACGAATCGCACATGTCTACTTTGTAGTTCTACAAACAAACAAACAAAAAAAAAAGTTTATAGGAGCTAAAGATTAAAGAAATTTGTAATAGGGTTATAGAGTAATTCTGCGCTGGAGCAATAAAAATGTTCACATAACATATTATAATTATTATTGTTGTTGTTGCTATTATGAGGGTAATTGT